TTGTCAGAAATTAAGAGTAATATGCACAACACTTAATTTCAATAGGTAAAGAACTACCTTTAAGCACAGTTATTATGAAGCGTGTTAAAATATGAAACAAAATATGTGGCAACATGAAATAAAGTTAATCGCATTATGAAACAAAACATATATAAAGACAAAGAATTCTGAACTTATATTCGAAGTTAGATTCTATTCGTTCTATAAATTATATATAATATAAAGAGACTGATAGATTATCGTATTAAAAAATGTCCGAATTAAATAAAGTAAAGCTTGAAGAGACTAATAGAGGCAAACCATCTATCTCAGATTCTCTACAATTTTTATTTTAAATATCTTATCTATCGCAATTCGTCATGAGTTCCCAGGTTGGGGACAAAATCACCTCCTGCGCATGGGATACCCCAGCCGTTTAGTACACAGAAGTTCGTTTCTTCCCACCTAGCAATGCGTACATCGATGTGCCAGGTCCCACCGTTTTGTGCCGAAAAACACCAAGCTGTCCTATCTCTCTGGTTGACTTCCTTAAAGCTAATCTCCAATACGAACTGAACTATACTCTCTGGGGCCTCAGTGTCACAGTTAGGACCTGTCGTCCAAGGAGCATATCCTACCCAATATGTATACTCTTTTCCGTCCGAATCCTTATAGTTTAGCCACTCATAGCCTCCATTACACATATTCTTCTTAGACCTAGCCTTTACGCTACTACCCGAGCTTCTGCCCAGCGATATCCATCCTGACAAGTCACCCACAAATGACGTCGACAGTGTCCATGTATATTCTTTCCAGTTAGATCTTAGCAAGTTGTGTACTGTCTGAATTATACGATGAACTGAGTCTGCGAAGTTATGCCAGTAACCTCCATTACAGTTATCTCTTTTAACCATCTAGGTTGCTGGATGGCTCACCTCGTACATCGAGGTCACTTGATCTGATATCTCGGAAACCATGTCGTCAATACGGTCTGCTCTCCTGACTAAATCCTTACCCTTGTGCTCCGAGTCTCGATCCACAAGCAAGGTAGCAAGTTCTTCTATACCAGTATAGTTAAGTTCGAAGAAATCTAGGTCTCCTCCCTGGAATAGAGTCACGTTGGCGTCCCCGTACGCTTCGAGCACTCTGCGTGGTACTCCGTTTGCCAAGATCCCATTTCTCAATATTCCTGTATTGTTATTAGTTGCATTAACATAATCTGCTAAATTAGTGCTGTTATATGGCCCCACTGCCTCACTATCCATAGCGTGGATGGTTATGCAGCAGACACAACTAATAAGGGCCAATGAAAAAATCGATGCGATTTTTGGTTGCATTATGAAGTTTTTTATTTTAAGCATTTATAGCAATATAAAGCAATTAGCTATTGTTTATAGACAGCTGCCGAAACAATATACATTATATTAAAATATATTCCTTAGGTTTCAGAGATAATTGAATCAAGGTTATCTATATATATGTATATATATAGATAATATAAGCAATTAGCTAATATTAGCTTTTATATGCACGTCGGAAAGTGAAAATTTGCACTTACCCTTTTAGGTTACACTGAGTATACAGACTTTAAACTCGTCAACATCTAATCTCTCATCTTAGCAGCGTTTGCAGCGTTTTGGACACCTTAAAGGGCTTCATACTCTTCATCTTCATTACTGTTCAAGTATCGAGGATAAAACTTTTTCAATTTCCTGAACAATCAAGCCCAGTCCGGATTAGGAAATGAAGATATATCCTTGAAAAATGTTGTGTGTTGGATATTTACTAAATTTGTACTGAAAGTAGAGAGAGTCAAGAACAATAAAATACATAATACTGTAACTGTGGTAATTTCTGCACATGGGGTGTTTTTAAATCAGGAATTAACGGTAAACTACATGAAGCAAGTGCTAATGGTTCTCGGTAACTTTTTATGATATGGTTGAAACACATGTGAACTTCGTTTAATTGAAATGTGTTGTTGCGAACTGCAATATCATGCAATATCATGCAACATTAAGCACAGATGCATGATCTGCTGCTTTTCTCTCTTTCCAAAATTCGCATTTTCTTTTTCAATCTTTACAACCTATAGACCATCTCAGAATATCTATGATAAGGAGTCGTAAAGGTATGCATTTCTGTGTCGAATATGGAAACTTTCACCGGTTATTTCTTTTTTTACTACTAAATTAGGATATAGAGGAATAAAGTTGAATAATGTAATGTCGCAAGCTGTAATATTAACGCATATCTCTTGCATCTTTTTACATTCAGAAAATAAAATATTCCATCACTTTATTCATATATTCCTGAGACGTTATAGTTGTATTACACTTCCATTCGATCTTTTATTTCAAAAAATAGGAATGTCATAGGACTTGAGAATAAACAACTTGTTTTGGCACTAAATATACATAGTTCAGGATGCAAGCAAGAATAGCATCAGAGTGAAGAATTTTTGAAAATACTCCCAGCAAAATAAGGTTGGGCTTCCTTATAGAACTTGAGCGAACAGTAGCCACAACAGAAAATTAAAATTTTTGAATATATGAACAATTAATGTTATACTGACTCTATTTAGTAGTTCATCGACTTCGTTTTTGGTATAAATGTTTTACATATTGTTGCTTGATAAAGAAAAAGTGATAAACGCACGTTGTATATCCGCAAAGTAAAACGACCATTGCCATCAATATCTAGACAACAACGAACATACATACACATTCCAGTAAACATCAAAGAGTTCGTAACACACATAGGCGTCTGACAAGGACTAAGATTTCTGTCTCTGGAATCAACGTAGATATTATAATTTGGTTTAATTCTCTATCATAATTTTCTCTCTCCTTTAGATGAATAGACCGCAGAGGTGTGATACACTGATTCAAACGTTACAATATTCAAAATATGGTATTGAAGCACACGTCCAACCATATCAATCATATTTAGTGGCAAAGCAAATATAAAAGTCTTGAAGAGGACATTATTTGGGTTTTAAAGGATTTTCTTGCAAAGAAAGTTGTCTCAACCCTCTATATTTGAAAATTCCAACTTTGAAATTTCACTTTAATAATAACATCATTAGCTACTAAAGCAAAAACTAGTGGTAAATTTCTTTGAACAACTCAGACAATAATTCCTCCTCTGGAAGATTATTGGCAACCAGTATCAGGTGGGGCAAATTTCTCAGAATAGTGGCGATTACTTTAGGTTTCATGTTAGCTATTTATGGTGTGATTAGTTATATGGACTGAACTGGAATGGTACCAAGTAAGTAAGATACAGTGAGACTTGTCAAACATCCACGTTGGACTCAAGCAGAAGGAATCATCTTAGGAGGATTTGTTATTGCTTGTACTACATATGATACCACCTATTTGGCTACAATCATTTGTATTGCTTCAACTGAAGGTATTTATGTTCTAATTGCCGGTGCAATTCTGACAACTGCCGCAGTATTCGCTGCCAGCAACAAAGCAAACCTTTAAACGGTGGTGAGTAAAATAGGCCATACTTCATAATTCCTTGACCCTCCATTAGTTGGGCAGATACTATCTAATGGGACCTCCAACTTTAGCATTACTATTGATTACCTGGGAAATTTAGTCCCAAATACTTTTAAACATAAAGAGAATACCAATTACACTTTTATAGGGTTTTCATCTCATTTAGGTAAACATGTCAATGTAAGTTGTGTTTTGTGTCAGGAATTAGGTGTGATATATACCAGTTTTAATTTCAATATAGGTAAAGAAAACTTTCATGCTCATTCACTCATCCATGCCATCACAAGATGTTACCACATCACATGAGGGTGTATGGCGTCATTGAGGAAGTGAAAATCTTTAAAAAATTGATATAAGACGAAGCTATTAATATAATATATAGAGAATATTAGATGTTCTACAATATGTAAATCATGTATAATATAAAGAGACCAATCGATTACCTTATTACAAATTGTCCGATTTAAAACAATTAAAGCTTGAAGAAACTAATAGAGGGAAAAATTCTATCTTAGATTCTCTAGAATATTCATAGGTAAAATTGACAGAAATTATGTCAGAACTAGATATCATAAATGTCCTAATAATATATGACCATTACTTAATAAAAGTATTTGGTAATGATTAGATAATAAGAGAAACAGAGTCTCAAGAAAATAAATAATATATTAAGACAGAGAATTCTGAACTTACATTCTAAGTTAGATTCTATTCATTCTATAACTTATGTATAATAAGAAACTCCCTACAATTAAATAGAAAAGAGTAGAAAATATAATTTGCTTTCTTAATACTAGAACTTAGCTACGCCTACACCTCTATACCTGCCTCTAAATGTAATAAACAATACTAAATTTAACTCTACTCTGTCTACTTCAACTCAACTTTATTCAATTGAACACATTATGACTTAGCGTTAAACTCTATTGGTCCAGCGAAGGATATAATATTTTAAAGGTATTTAAAGCTATTTAACAATACGGCATATATGTATATAGGATTTTAAGGAAACTTTTGAGATCAATTAATCCAGAAATCTTTTAGATCTTTGGCACCCCCATTATAAGCAATCACATTAGGTGAATTCTCACCAGGATCATACAACTTATCTTTTGTACCAAACTTGACTATTTTTTCTTTCAATTGATTTGGAGATATCGAGGTATAGAAACTACTTTCTTGTTCAGGTTGTAAATTTAAGAAATAGGCGACTAACCCGGCAACATGTGGGGCTGACATCGAGGTTCCACTAATTATCTCTGTTGCATTATTAGTTCCACCAATATATGTTGATGGAATTGATGTACCTGGTGCAAAAATATCAACACATTCCCCCCAATTAGAGAAGAAAGCTCTTTGGTCACTGGTGGTTGTTGCACCAACAGTAATTGCCTCTTTCGAATCAGAAGGCGATGCATAACAGGCATCCTGATCTTCATTTCCTGCAGCTACGACAAAATGGATACCCTTCTTGACAGCTGCATTAATCATACCAGTTAATGCAAATGATTTTCCAGCACCCATTGACATGTTAACGACAGAACCCTTTAATTTCTTATTACCTTCTATTTGTCTTAAATGGTCTTCCACGACAAATTCAATACCTTTCAAAACATCTGACATTTCACCATTTCCAGCACTATCCAAGACTTTAACAGCAATTAATTTAGAATCTTTTGCAACCCCATATGTCTTTGAACCGATAATTCCGGCACAATGAGTCCCATGGCCATTCATATCTTCATCGTTAGCATCAGAAATTGCAGTCATACCCCAACTAGCCCTCCCTTCAAAATCTATATGTGATGTTTGAATTCCGGTGTCAATAATATATACATTAACATCATTATCTTGACTACCTGTATGAAACGTGAATGATAAATCATTCCAAGGAAAGATTCGATCTCTTTGTGATATTCTGGCCAAACCCCAAGTGGACTCTTCCTGTACTATAACCTTATTTTGTCTTACAATAGTATCTGCTTCAATAGAAGCAACAATCGAAAGAAATGAAACAATTGAATACAAAAGTTTGATATCTGGAAGATAAACCGAGTAACCAAATATACGTCCATCTAACTCGTAAGTATTTAAATTAACTGAATTTCCCATTATACCCATTTGTACCAATGATTCAGAAACTAATTGATTCATTGAATTTATATGAGACTCAATCTGTGACTTCGAAGCTGATTCCTTGAACACAACGATGTATTTGTTAGTCAAAGTATCCAACGAATCAGGTTTCAAATCTATCTTGACTGGCACATTAACTAATGGAGGATGGTCATTTTCGTTATGAATGTTGTTGATACTAATACCTGAAACGCCCTCGAGGATAAATTCTGGGATAAGTAATCCCTTCGAGAAGTTAAAAAATATTGATAATAAAAGCGGATATACGGCTAATAACATCTTTCTAAATATTTCACAGTAAACTTTGTTTTTCTTAGTACACTAGTTCACACTTTAAATATACAATTTACTTGAAGAAATCACCATTCTTTTAAGATTTTTGTTGCCCCCTTCCCCTTTTATATATATAATTTTTCCATCATATATCTAATCTATCTAATCTATCTATCTATAAAACTCCGTGATCTCAAAGGAACTAAAACGATAAGCACTTAAATCGATAGCGCGATACACGGCGCAAAAGATTAAAAGAATAATATTAAAAGTTAGAAAGAATTAGTATGTATTTTTACAGATCATTCATTGGTCGTACTTAGCTATTATTTTCGTCACGGAATACATTACTATATATCTATACATTAATAAGTTTGTATTGATGTCCTGGTATTATCTGAATTATGGTTTTGGACCGATCATATCTTCTGGAATAACCCATTCCTTGAATTGTTCTTCAGTTAAAAGTTTCAATTCAAGAGCCGACTCCTTCAAAGTAATACCCTTATGGTGAGCATTCTTTGCAATCTTGGAGGCAGCATCGTAACCGATGTGAGGGTTTAGTGCTGTGACCAACATTAGAGACTTATGTAAGTTCTCATCGATCTTATCTTTATTAGCCTTTAGCCCATCAATACAATGAATAGTGAAGGAGTTACAAGCGTCACCTAACAATCTAATGGAACTCAAAAGATTAGAGATCATAACTGGTTTGTAAACGTTCAATTCGAATTGACCTTGAGAGCCAGCAAATGTGATGGCTGCATTATTACCCATCACTTGGACACAAACTTGAGTCATTGCTTCATTTTGTGTAGGGTTAACTTTACCTGGCATAATAGAAGAACCTGGTTCGTTTTCTGGCAAGCTTAATTCACCGTAGCCACAACGTGGACCTGAACCCAAGTATCTAATATCTTGTGCAATCTTGAATAAAGAACACGCAACGGTATTTAAAGCACCAGAACATTCAACAATAGCATCGTGCGCAGCTAGGGCTTCAAACTTGTTTGGAGCAGTTTCGAAGTACATACCAGTCTCTGAGGAGACTTCATCTGCAATCATCTTATCAAACCCAATCTTGGTGTTCAAACCAGTACCGACAGCAGTGCCACCTTGTGCTAACATCTTTAGTGAATCCATTGTGATCTCTACTCTTCTAATCCCATTAGTCAATTGTTGGACGTAACCACTGAATTCTTGACCTAAAGTTAATGGTGTAGCATCTTGTAAATGAGTTCTACCAATCTTAACGATATCCTTATATTCTTCAGCTTTTGAATGTAGAGCATCTCTCAATTTAGTTAAATTTGGAATCAAATGATGTTTAATTTGAGTCATGGCAGCAATATGCATAACAGTAGGAAAAGTATCATTTGAAGATTGAGATTGATTAACATGATTATTTGGATGAACACTCTTTGAGCCAACTTTACCACCTAGCAATTCGATGGCCCTGTTAGAGATGACTTCATTAGCATTCATGTTTGATTGAGTACCTGAACCTGTTTGGAATACAACCAATGGGAAATTATCAGTCAATTTGCCTGCGATGACTTCATCAGCTGCCTTTTGAATAGCCTTTGAGACTTCTGGATCCAAAGTTCCCAATTTTTCATTAACAATTGCAGCCGATTTCTTTAAGATACCAAAGGCCTGGATAATAGGTTCCGGCATCTTTTCTCTTGGACCACCAATTTTAAAATTTTGGAAAGATCTTTGAGTTTGAGCACCCCAATACTTATTAGCTGGAACTTTCACTTCACCGAAGGAATCGGTTTCAATTCTAATTTCAGATGGATCGATTTCTCTGATGGTAGACATGTTTCTGAGGCTGATATTTTTAGAGACTAATCTTAGGTTGGTAGTGGCCCTTGTCACTGAAGATTGTGAGAATTTAAGCATCTTTCTTTATATATTTGAAAAACACAAAAAAATTGGTAATGTACGAAGTTAATGCAACCAGAAGAAAATCTAAAGGAAAAAAAACAACGAGAAAGAGAGAAAAAAGGTTTGACTCTTGTTTTAATAATTAAAATATAATGACAAAACGCAAATGAGGACAGGAATAATACAATAATAACCTGATAGTAATATATCTATATCTATATCTATCTATATATATATATTATTCGACTAAAATTAATTTTTGTTTCTCAGTTTGACAAGTACTTGAAGAAACAGAGAGAGAGAGAGAGAGAGAGAGAACGTAAGTACGTTCCAACAAATAAAATAATTAAAAAAATAAAAGATATATAAAATTTTCTCAAATTACGAACCTATATATAAAGTGAAACAATGGATGTGTATATGTAAGTCCTTCCTCGATCATCATCAACAATTTTACTTTCTCAATTCCTGGTGTTGATGATGACTCTCACAAGCCAATCCCCGTTAATTGCCGGACTGGAGAGCGAAGAACTCACTCCATCAACCTCAACATTTATGTGTTCACTCTCCATTAACCTGACGATTTCCGATAGTTTAGATGGTTATTAATTAGTAAAAGAAGTAGACACATAACGAGAGGGGAAGAACCACAAGGGGTGACCAATCAGCGTGGACCATTAGGGAACCTTTCCCGTGCTGTGGCCGACAGTGCGTGTAGTACGATTTTCTGAAAAGAAATAGCGCAGAGGCTGCGCAGAACGGCTTCGCGATGCTCGGGGAAGGGGCAGAAGCTAAATGCAGTCTTTGGATGGAATCATTAATATATTCAGATTCATTTATTGCATTGCAACCTCATCGACGGGTTTACTCCATTTGTATTTTAAGTACTCAAGACTATCAAAAGTACTACACCATCTTTCATACATAGTCAATTGCGATAGATATCATTAATATCTTGTAGAATTCAAAACTGTACAGTTCCTAGGTTGAATACTATTTCAAAGAGAATATAAAGTCCTGTTATTGGATCGATCCAACATTTTTCAAATGATCGTAGAAATTATAGCTGGCATAACATTAATATAAAGGGTTAGCACCCATCTTTGTATGATAATGAACGTAGACAGATGAAAGTTTCTCACATGCAGTAGATATTTGCTATTCCATTCGTATTACCTAAAAACTTATCTAAATACGTATACAAAGTAAAAATGTAACTTCAAAGAGTAGGTTTAGGTCTTGTAAGGTAAAATTTTTTTGAGTTAAAATCTTTTTTCTATTACACTTTTGCTGACCTTAAAGTTATAACAAAATTTTTATGACGTTCAAAAACCTATTTTACTTTCTTTTCCTTCACAAAATTTATTTGATAACACCAGCGAGCTGGTAAAATAAAACCAGGAAAATATGGCTTGTAAATACCGTTTACTTTATCACATTTTCCTCACCTGACGACTTATGGGGAAAAAGACTAGAGAGTTTAGCTAATTATTACTAAAGGAATCATATACATTTCCATAACGTAAAAAATTCATTTGTGAGAAACTGAAAGGACTTTAGGAGTATTCAACAATTATTATAAAGGTTACAATACAGATAGATTGGGCGCAGTATGCAAAATGATTAAATTATCATTAAGTTTAATACTAGACAACCTTTTTTTGTTTTGTTTTCAAATACAAGAATATATATTTATTGTTAAAAACTCCTTTTTAGGTAAGTCGTAATTTAAATATTTACATTTACATTTAAATTGAGATTTACAGATATGAATAATGTAGTAGATTAAAATATTACTATTTGTATGACGTACAAAACATATATACATATGTGCTTTTTTTTTGTTCATCCATTAAGGGTTGAATAAGTCCTGTGGAACGAACAACTCCTCGTAGTGCTATCCCTTTTTTGGTAAATTAGATTATACATTCGTTAAACTAATTAAAAACCAGAAAAATTACAAATAAATTTTCTTGTTGAATATCATTTGAAAAAACAAAATTCAAATTTGTTACCAATATATTCTACGAAATACAATCCCTTACTCCTTCTCATTCGACGTCCTTTGATAACTGATTGTAAAACATTGACGCCAACATATCTTTCAATTAAGAAGGATGCAAATGATTCAAACAACAGCCTCGTCAAATATGTAAATTACTTTGTAGAATTGGAGGGGAAAGAATCAATAAACTCATTGATGTCGTATAAACCATTAATTCAATAAAATTAATTTTATCTTTTGACCTCGAAAAGAAAAGAAAAAAAGTTTCTAATGTTTTAGAAAGTCGAACAGTTTTGTAACAGCCGTATTATTATCAAAAGCTTCCAATGTGTCGTGTCAGCAAATAAATTACATAAATTTGTCTTTCTCAGCAATGAAACAATAGTTCCTGTCGTTTATCTCGTTCCTGAATCTGTGTCGTTTATTTATTTCAAAGCTTACAAACTCCTTTCAATTTCACAGAATATGGCGCGGGGAGCTGACAAAAAGAAGTAAATACGATTTGCGTTTATAAATCAGTCACATTCAGATAAAAAGAAAGATAACTTTTGGGAACCCTTCGACAGAACAAGAGAAGACAAGACACCGAATGAAGATTTGGTAAGAGCGAGATTTCTATTGAAAGGATGGGGGTTTCATGATTGTTGATGAAAGTTTTCTTTTAATAAAATAGAAGGGGGTGACAAAAGGCCATCTTCGTTTAAATTATATATATATAGATACATACAATTTTCTCGTCGTTCTTGATACAATGACTTATTGAACTCGTATGAAAAGAAAAATTTCTGAAATCAAGGAGAGGATATTCTCCCAACTTAATCATCTTCTTTGTACACTTTTTATGGGGAAAGCTGTACACTACTGTGCTAACGTTTACAATTATATATCAATTATACACAATAAGGTAATCGTGGCTTATACTTATTAACTAAATAAACGAGACATCTTAAATGGTAATATAAGTAATCACATCGATACAAGGTTCCAATATAAAAACGAAAGAAATAAATTGAGATTAATTCAATTTGTCAATGATGTAGAATTTCATTTTCTTTTTTAATTTGCAATCACGTCTTATTTTCACTGAAATCATAAACTTTATATAAAAAAAAAAGATCAAAAAAAAATTTATCCTATAATCTTCAAAGAAACAAATAAAATGTCACTAAGAACCTTATCAAGTTTTGAAAAGAGGCTACTGACTCAATCCATTGAGAATAAGAGAAACGGTACAACATTTGCTGCTAGTTATTATTCCTGTAATGAAAATTGGGATGACGATATAACGTTATCTACAGTTAGAGATTCTAGATTAACCCTTCCAATTTTGACACATGCACTACAAAGATTAATTTCGAAGAATATCGAATTGGCTTTAACCATCAACGAGGATATTGAATACGAGCTATTGAAAAGAATCAAGACTGACTCAATTATAAAGTTGGTTCAATTTGGGTCCTTTAAAGATGAGAAAGTAAATTGCCACGCTGGTGCTCCTCCATATCTATTACGTCATATCTACAATAATTCTAAATTTACACCCGGTAGCCAAGAACCCCTATGGGAATTATACGTAGTTGATGAATCACTTGTGATTTTCCACGGTCAAGATGTATTATTTGATTCATTCTCAGGTGCTAATTTTCATAAATTATTAATGGAGGAAATTAATCAGGTTATATTAAATCATAAACCTGATACAGAGCTTAAGAAATTAGATTATATATTCAACAGAAATGAAATACACACAGATACAGTACTACCAAAATCAATATATGATAATCCAAAAATACATCTACCCGCAAAGACAACTAATCTTTTCAGTTTACAAACCCAATCATTTTTTAAGTCAATATTTTTCAATACTGTAAGGAAGCCATTAGATGTTTTACCTTTCTTTAGTTCTAATGATGAAGAGGTCCATTACAAGAATCTCGAAGAATATAAATCGATTGGTTCGTTTAATGAATTGGATTCAAAAACTAATCTTTGTGGAACTACAGTATTTGGCACTATCTCTAGGGATAGATTTAATTATCTAAATTCTCTCGTGGAACAAGAAAATATCTGTTTCAGAAGTTTAATATGTGGTATAACTATGCTTTGTTTAAAACCACTTGTAAAGAATTTTGACAATTCTGTAACTTTTTCTATGGACATCGATCTAAGAAACTTGGTTGACAATCCGGAACAATCAACAAAGAATTTTGGTCTATACTACAAAGAAATTAGGGTTGAATGTCCACTTTCATTAATCAACGATAACGAGTTTATAACAAGTGAAGATGAAGCTGATTCCAAAACTTTGAATGAAGAAGACTCGGAGCAAATGGAAAAATTATTAGAGTTTCAACTTAAAAACGTAACAAACCATGTAAAAAATGTAATCAATGAAAATATAAGAAGGTTTGAAAAGTTTGGCTTTGATGATGACGATATTAGACGAATGAAATATTCAAACACTGACGAATTTTCATCTGAGAAGGAACAAGAGAAAGTTATTAACATTTGTGACACTTCTGATATCGTTCTTGGTGAAGCTGAACAGAAACGTGAAGGTCTATTCAATCTAAAGAATACCAGTTTTACAAAGAGTTTGAAGAAAAACGAATATATGTCACTGTGTTATAGTTATTGTAACGATACCGGTCTGAACTTGTGTATCCACTTCTCTGATTCATACAACATGGAAAATTTTGTTGAATGTTTCCAATCATTCATTGAAGAATGAATTAACACCTAAATTTGAACGATAATTAATAATGACACAATACGTAATAAAACTTAAATACACTTTATATAAGTGTAAAAACTATTTTTTTATTCTAGATGTATAAATAATGAGAGATGCAAAATATTACCAATTATATCTATCTTCTCTTTGAAGTAGGTTTGGAGAGATCCTTTTCAATGATATCACCACCAACACCAAGTTCTTCTAATTTATCTTCTTCAATACGAACTTGGTCTCTTCTTTCCCACCAACGATCTTCACATAGATCAAAAGACTTCTTTTTCAAATGCTTACCCTTAGCATCCCGGTTGTTAGAAATTGCCCACTCCAAAAATGCTGGGCCTTCACGTAGATAGAACGCACGCAAATTCTCGAATGGTTTTGGATGAGGCAACCAAGGACGTTCATCTGGAATTTCCATTTCATCTACTTGCTCTTCTTCTTCTTCTTCCTCTTCTTCCTCTTCTGCTTCCAATTTAGTGTCCGCAATTTCTTCTTCGTCATCATCGTCTTCTTCGTCATCGTCATCGTCGTCGTCGTCATCTGAATCTTGTTGGCCGAGCTTCTTGGCAGTTTCAACATTTTCTAGATTTTCCCAATAAACACTAACACCATCTACCTTATTTAAATCGATACCATAGAAGGAATCAATGTAGAAATCCTTTTCACCTAGTTCCCAAACACCACCATATACGAATAAGGAATCATCCACAACAACGGTAGCTGAATTAAATCTTGGATGCGGCAATTGATTAGATATAGTCACGTCTTTTCGTCTTTCAACATTTTCATCTTCAATATCCATTTTATTCAATTCTTGCTCCAACTCAGTATTATCCACATTGATATCATCATCTTCATCGTTTAAGTTATTTTTTTTCAAAATACTATTCAATAGATCTTGCAATTCTTTTTCTTTTTCTTCAGAAATGTTAGTATTAGAAGATTTGATTCTTTGTGAACCTGAATTTGATTTATTACTCTTTCTCAATTTTAATGAATACCATCTATTAGTCTCTATGTTATAATTGAAAAGATCATTGTAGAAAATAGAATCTAAACTTTCTTCAGTTTCTTCAAAATCATAGACACCACCAAAGAGAATCCCTCTACCTTTATGATGTGCCATAGAGCAACCCACTCTTGGAGAAGGTTGGAAACCTTGTTTTCTTCTTCTTTCCCATCTAATAGCAGATAAATCTGGTTTCATTTTCAAATACCAACAATCTGTAAGAATCTTCCCCTTTTGAAGACCCTTTGTAGCTTTCACTTTACAATACCCACCATAAAGGATACAACCCTCTGCAGTTGGAATTAAAGAGTGACCAGATCTAGCGTCTGGTAAAGTATGATTCTTTGGGAATTCTATTTGTTTCCATTTATAATTGGTAATATCAAATACCCATAGATCATTCAAATATGATGTCGAGTGACCCAAATCTCTGAACCCCCCGTAAAGGATGAAAAAATTCTTCCAAGTTGTGATTCTATGACCAGATCTTGGACTTGGAGAAACCTTTTCATCTATCTTTGTCCATTCTTTATTTGTTGTGTCTAGGATCCAAGTATCTGAGTAATGATAGAAAGTGGATTGTTTTGGAGAAGAAAACTCACCACCATGCAATAATGCAATACCTGAGGGATGCGATGCCATAGCAGCTGAGGATCTTGGCATTGGAGAATTTTGGGAAGTATATTTTTTCCAAGAGTTATTATCTAGAGCGTAAGAATACAATTCATTATGAAAATTAGCTGCACCTGTGACAGGATTAGCAGACTCACCACCAAATAATAACAATTCTTTCTTGTTATGTAATGGGTTAGCCACTAAACATGGATTCAGTCTTACAGGTGAAGGTTTATCAACGGTCTCGATATTAATTTGTTCGAATTGTTCCTGTTGTTTCCTAAAATTGGATAAAACTTCTTCAATGTCCATATCATCCATATCTTCATCATCGCCCATCTTCTGTTGCTTCTTCTTATCCTTCGATTGTGCCTTGGCTTGATTCTTCTTATTCTTTTGCTCAGTACGAGCCTTCTTGGCCTCTTTATCCTTCTTACCAGATTTCTTCTTAGCCATTTTCCTTGTTATCGTTTAGTTTGTTAGCTCACTATCTTGAAACAAACTCAACAGTTCTAGTTACTATGCAATTTAACAGTCGACACCCTGGTGCTTATTGAATCCATTCTCGAGATCATCTTATATCAGCAATGGTGACGGCCCTGAGAATTCTAGGCACAACATCGCTAATCGCGTACATAAAATTTTTCACCCAAATATTGACCTCATGAAATAAAGCACAGAAAGAGCGCTAGAAATAATTTAATAGTCACGTGAAATACACGTGACATAATTGTAATTATTGGTTATAGTTATTGACATGATCATAAAGTGTATCATCATTAGTTTCAAATTCAGCAATAATAACCTCATTTACAATACTTAAATATACGGCTAACGTCATTGTCTGTTCTCTTATGCCAGCCAATCATATGGAAGAACACTCATTAACTGGCCATTCCCAAAAACAGACAGAAATTTTCGGCGCGTTGCCCGTTTCCCACACTGAAAGAGCCAAAAAAAATACAAAAAAATGTGAAAAGTTCCCTATTGAGATTATATATATATATGTAAATGACTGATAGTATTTATTACAAGGGGTGGTGCAATAGGATTGAAATAGTTAGATTTTAAAAGCAATCCTTATTTATATATTTTCAATAAGTATATATTCGACAGAAAATAAAATATACATATCGAAGAAATCATGTCTGCCTGGAGAAAAGCCGGTCTTACTTACACCCAATACATCTCAGTCGCTGCTAAGACTCTACGTAGTGCATTGAAGACTGAATTACAAACACAACATGTCCTAAACCGTGGTCAATCTGATGCATGCTTCACGAAATATGAAAAGGGTAGTCCACTAGCTGATCCAAAGTTGTTGAGCAAATAGAATGAAGTTCTGGCCGACACATATGCCAAAGCTACTTCTTTTCAAATCATATGAACCCATATATATTCCACAATAGCAATCGATATAAAAACAAGCAAAATAAACAAAAAGTAAGATGTCCATCATACGGGAGAAATAATATAAGGATTTAGATATATCTATAAATGTTTATATAAAGATATGAATATGCGCAAGTATATTCATGCATTCTCTTCACAATAAATAAGTATTCAATATTCACAACGAATGATATATATATGTATATCTATATGGTGAGATAAACCGGTCCTACTCACTCGACATGGGCCCACTTATGACCTTTATCCAATCTTCAATATCTATATGTTACTGGTCATCACCTGGAATGGTATAGTCCTTATATGGCTAGGGGTGCGTGGCCCCATTATTGTTCACAGTAAATAAATTCTTGTTATGGTGTATGAGAGAGGGACGGCAAAAATTTCCAGCCGACAAAATATCGCGCTGGAAATTTACACCTTTAAACATTACCCAGTGAATGGTTCAAATGGGCTTGGATTTGCACTGAACGATGCATGAATTAGAACCATTTTAATCTTTATTCCAAAAGGATCAATGACTATCTTTTGACTTTGACCAAATTGAATCTGGAGAAATTAGAAGCATTGATATATAGTGAATATCAGCAATATCTATTGATTTTAGTTCCTTGTTATTATTCTGTTATATATTCAATCAGAGATAAATACCCTGTTGTAAGGACCAAGGTTAGCAGTGCAATTCATTTATCCTTATTCCTTCTTTATCCAATAACTACTTTATTTTGTAAGTTTATTTTGCATCTTTTTAAGAAATTAAGGCTCTCATATCATCATTTAAGCAATAATTTCAATTATAATTTTAAGGGATAAATTATCTCAACAACTTTCTGATCAATATGCTTAAAGCACATGCAAATGCAAGTACATTATGTCGACAATTAAACCATATCAACAACCCTATAATAAATACTTCGTTATTATCAGGATTACGATCAAAGTGTTGGGGAGTAAGAAATAAGACAACACTAACCAATTGTCACACACATAATCTCATTTATTCAAAATACAACAATAATGGTAGCAATATAACAATCAAGAACGTACAAGGCATTAAATATTTCTCAGATTTCACTAAATTACTACGGAATGATACCACAACTTTTCAAAATAAACTGAAACTTAACTCTCATACCACCTTTAATAATAATAATAATATTCCATTTGCAAAAATTTCTAAAAATTTCTTTCACTCATCCAGAAATAATCAAAATAATAAATCTGAAGAAACTTCAAAATCTAAGAAGGATACAAAATCATCTTCAGAATCTGGTTCAAAGGATATATGGAGATTATTACTTCTAATCAAGAACGATTGGAGATTATTATCTGCAGCTTTAGGTCTGCTGACCGTTTCATGTTCCATTGGTATGGCGATCCCTAAAATTATAGGTATTGTGTTAGATGCCTTAAGGACAACTGCACCTGAAGAACAAATTACTGTAATGTCTTTACCATTACCTCAATTTTTTGGTGGGATTGCCGTAGCTTTAGTTATCGGCTGCGCTGCGAATTATGGTCGTGTTATCTTACTGAGAATCTTGAGTGAACGATTGGTTGCTCGACTAAGATCAAATATCATTAAGAGAGTGTTACATCAGGATGCAGAATTTTACGATACCTATAAAGTTGGGGACTTGATATCAAGACTGGGATCTGATGCTTATGTTGTTTCAAGGTCCATTACTCAGAAGATATCAGATGGTATAAAAGCTTTATTTGTAGGATCTGTGGGTATCGGTATGATGGTATCATTATCACCACAACTGTCAGGTTTTCTAATGTTACTAGCTCCTCCAATCCTTTTTGCAGCAAAGTTTTTTGGTAGAAAGATAAGATTAAATTCCACTCAGTTACAAGAGGCTACTGCAAATATGACGCGTGTATCAGAGGAACAGTTCAATGGTATTAAGACGATACAAAGTTTTGTTGCAGAAAAGAACGAGATAAATAAATATAATGGTGCAATTCGTCAAATATTTAGAGTAGGTAAAGATGCTGCTTTCATAAATGGTAAATTTTTTACAACTGCAAGTTTGATAGGAGATCTAAGTTTTTTGATTGTTTTAAGTTATGGTTCATACCTTGTACTGGGCAATCAATTATCTATTGGTGACCTAACGGCATATATGCTATATACAGAATATACTGGTAATGCAGTCTTTGGCCTATCAACTTTTTACTCAGAATTGATGCAAGGTGCAGGTGCAGCTACCAGATTATTTGAATTAACTGATAAAGAAGTTAAGATTCCATCCACCTTAGGGAAAAACAAGTTTATTCCAACAAAACCGAATGGGGGCTGTGAAATCGAATTCAAGGATGTTTCATTTGCATATCCAACGAGACCTGCCAATCAAATATTTAAAAACTTAAATTTTAAGATCGAAGCAGGTTCAAACGTTTGTATTGTCGGTCCATCTGGTAGAGGTAAATCGACTATCGCGCTATTATTACTACATTATTACAACCCTACGAATGGAGAGATAGTTATTGACGGCCAGACTTTGAACGAAATGAATACAAAATCACTAAGACGTAAGATTGGTATTGTTCAACAAGAACCAACTTTAATGTCAGGAACAATTAGGGACAACATAACATACGGTTTGACTTATAAACCTACAAAGGAAGAGATTAGATCTGCTGCTAAGCAATGTTTCTGTCATAATTTTATTACTAAATTTCCTGATACTTATGATACTGTCATTGGACCTCATGGTGCTTCATTAAGTGGTGGTCAAAGACAACGTATTGCTATTGCAAGGGCATTGATAAAGAAACCAAACATTTTAATATTGGACGAAGCTACCTCTGCGTTAGATGTGGAGAGTGAGGGTGCCATTAACTACACATTTGGCCAAATCATGAAATCAAAGTCCATGACTATTGTCAGTATCGCCCATAGACTAAGTACTATCAGAAGATCTGAAAACATTATTGTTTTGGGGAATGATGGTTCTGTAGTGGAAATGGGTAAATTCAAGGAATTGTTTGAGGACCCAAATAGTGAGTTATCAAAATTGATGAATGAAAAGACAAACCGCAACGAAAAGAAACCAGATCTTGTTAAATCAAACATAACATCGGATGGAACTGACAAAGATTCTTCCCAAATGTCAGAAGTAGAGCAAGAAATCTCAGCAAAGACGAATCAAATAGATGCGATAGATGAGAATGCTATAGAAGAAGTAGTTAAAGATGTGACGGAAGAGAGTAAACCTATCAAGATTATAAGGTAAATATACAACTAACGTTCTTAGGTCTACCAATTCTCTATTAGTTCAATACAGGCCAGTTCTTTCACTGATACTAACACTTAACGAGCAATGCCTAAGTAGTACATACCCATACCCATATATATATACTTAACAATTTATATCTTGACTGCATTATATAAGAGACCTTTAATATAAATCACGACTTATATAGAGTGGCTCTCCCTTTGTTGTGTCTTTTTCAGTTCTCTTACAAATCTCTAACATATTTCGCGTTGCCATTTTGGGAAGGTATCTTGGATTTCAAAAGTAAACAAACAAATATATGATGATGGCTAACCTCCTTTAGTAAATACATAAAGGATTCAATATAAAATATAAGTGAATCTAATGAACAAGAGTGTCAGTTTTGCTATCCATAACTATCAAGAAAGGAACTACCAACGAAAGTAATATTATTTAAGATTAAATGATAAGCGAAGAAAGGGTTGTCTTAGATTCGGCAGTTGCACGAATATCAAACTTATTGACACGCCTTGGAGAAACAGAACAAGTAAACGACGATTTTTATAATGATCTGACTAAGTTTTATGATGAATTATATGGTTTGAACAAAATTTTAGCAACATACTTGAAACTGGACCCTGGGAATTTTTTGAATGAGATGGCCAATGCTGCATCATTGAAAGATATATTCTCTGAGGTTGCCGAACAATTTGAAAACATAGAACCTACTTTGTGTGATATCGTTGATTTAATAGATAAGGATGATGTAATAATAACTTTTAACTCATCAGAAATGGATACAGCTACTATTGCACAGTTACTCAAGGAATGTAATGAAGTAACAAATAATAATAAATCTGTTATGAAATCATTAAAAGATATAATAGGGACATATTTAGATTTCAATGAGATCTTAGATAACCACATTGGGACCATAGATGAAATAGTTAATGAGAGTTTAAATCAATTATTTGAGATATATGATGAGCGTAACGGATCACCGATACGACATTATCCATTATTCACTCTGGATAAAATTATTCGATTATTATCAAGAGACACATCAGATGATCGCCTGCTAACCAAAAATGGGAGAAGGATACATAGTAATCAACCAAATATTATAGAGGAGCCTACATTTCCGACATTTACAGCAGCTGATGTAAGCGTTTCTCAAAAATTCCTGCAATTACAGAAAACTTTAATCCCCATAGAAAAAAGTTTAATAGAAATATTACCTCAGCGAATAGAGCTTTTTGATTCAAGATCATTTAAATATACCGATGATTTAACTATAATCCTTAATAGCAAATACAAAACTGTGATGGTGAATTATAAATATTTGACTAGAGAAGTTCGTGCCCTGAAATTAGAATTGATTGATAATAGATGGAATTTTATTTTTGAAAACTTAAATAGAGAATTGAAAATAAGAATAAACTCTGTTGAAACGAACTACAATGATTTAAAATCCCAAACCTTTTCGGACAGGATTAGCTCCAAACAGAAACAAAAGTTGGAGAGAGATACGCAAATAATATCCAAAACATTTAATACGATTTACAAAGCTCTTGAATTTTCTTTGTTGAAAACTGAAATTGCGTCAGAAATAAATGATCTAGCTGAAGTATGGATTAACCTCAGAGGATTAACGGATGATTACTTGGAATCTGTCCCATCATTATCTGACAACGAGGCTCTGAATGTGATACGAGAGAGGGCTAAGGCGAATAGAGAAAAAATCAGCAAAGAAGATTTGAACTTTTACAAACCACCTCGTATTTCGAGTTATAATTCTAGAGATGAAACTACCACGGACGAGGAACCTGATGCAGCAAACTTAACTATCGAATCAATAGCCAACAATCTAAGGCAATTCTCTCTGACCTCCAACTTGAAGAGGCATGACACCAATGATAAGACACTCGTAACAGGTCAAATGTCCATGAAGAAAATGACAAAACCATTAATCATTCCAAGCATTACTAGTACTACCAGTGGTACTACCATATCATCTGAGATAACGGATGAATTACTTGCAATGAGGGATGACCTCACATATCCATCATTTGGAAACAGGGCATTGAATATTGGAACGAAGCACGGTGATGATAAATTTCCCGCACTGCCAGATTATAAGGAGGCAACTTCTAGTAAATTGGAACCACCTCAGAAGTTTAATGAACCTCCCCTAATGTATCAACTTGAAGACAATAACAGTGATTATGAGAGTGATCTAGAAAGCAGTAGAATTGATGTTCCCATAAGCAATTTGAAGGAGAAAATGGGAAAGAGATTTTCAGACCTTGCTAATGATGGGAAGATCAGAAACAAGCCTTCTGAAAATGTATTACTAGATCCCATTGTTGACAAAATCAAATATAGTGCTGCTGATATGGAAGTTATGGAGAATAATAAGTTGAAATATTACGCTCTCCAAATAACCTTAATTCCACGAATTGGTATTCCCGGTAACTGTTGCGATAACAGAAATGTTTCTTTACCTCCAGCTGCTACTATATTTCATACACCTCCAAGGTTCGATTACTCAAAATCTCTGGAGTACAATAGTCATATATTGCAAGGGTCGGTGAGAAGAAAACTGAAACAACCTACTCTAATGTCCCAGTTGTTAACACCATTATCTAGACGATAACTATGAAATTATAGACACTTCGATTGTAACAATATACACAAATAAATATCTCAATACACATATGTATTGTCTGACTTATATAATTAATAACTTAATGAATATTCACATACAACAACATAAAACCGAAGTTCCACTCACCCCAAGAAGGCATTCCCCTTATTCCTTAGGATATTAAATTGATTGTTCTCTCATCGAGAATGGAATGCACCGCACGAAGAAATAAACTGACGCACCGCGGAGACAACAAAGTTTCTTCTGCAAGGACAATTGATGATCATTACATAATTAGGACACTGGATATTTATGATTCAAGAATGTTCGATTATCCATTAGAACACCAAGAACGAAAAACTCTTTTAATACTTATATTGTAAACTACTGACGTCAAGTATAGTTTACTGCCCTTATTTGTAGGATTAATGTTTCTATTTGGGTAATCGAATGTATCGAAGATATTCGTATCATTTCCACACTAGTATCCATTTTTTTGCAGAAATAAAAGGAAACAATCCACTAAATGGAATCAAATAATCCATCATCAGGGAATGATCATAATATATATACTGATAAAGTACTTACTACCAATGATACATTGATTCATGGTGACAGAAGGCAGCTGTCTTCAAAAACTGATTCTTTGAATTCGAATATGTCATCAACTCTAAACACACCATCAAAACAAACGACAAGACTGAACACAAATTATAGAATTGTAAGAAATCTGAAATCACTGTTAAGGAAGACAGCTGGTCTGGTTTACCCTTTACAAGAATCGTCACAAACTTTATTAAATAGTTCATTAGACTTTGGCACTACTATTGTTGGTCCTGCCACATCTCAACCTTCTTTACAAGACATTCTCAAGTATGCGAGTCTCCATAATAAGTCATTGCTATCGGAGAACATATCTCAAATGTGTTATACATTACAATCTGAGGGTGTGTTTTTAGAAAAAATAACAAGAAATAAGAGAAGATGGTACTTGTTTAAATTAGATAGTGACAACAGTTCCTTAATGTGGAAACAAGGCAACAAAATACTGGAATTGGACTCTATAAGAGATGTCAGAATCGGAAAAATGGCTAGTAATTACCGTGAAGAGTATGGTGTCTCAGATAACTTCGCTGATTTGTGGCTAACAATAATATATAGTGTGTCAAATAAATTGAAGGCATTACATGTTATTGCTGAAGATAAAGATAGATTTGACGCTTTTTTAAATGTAATTTGCGGATTAGTGTCCAGAAGAAGGAAATTAATGGAAAGTATATCTATCCCAGACAGCGAGAGGTTTGCAAAAATCCATTGGGAGACAACTGTTTCAGAACGAGAAGAAGATAGATCAAGTGATACTCTGACATTTCAGGAGGTTTCAAAACTTTGTAAAAGATTCCATATTTATTGTTCAAAGGATCATTTATGGAAAATATTCAATATTGCAGATGTAAACAACAACCAACTATTAAACTTTAAAGAATTTCAACATTTTGTTGAATTACTTAGGGAACGTAACGAAGTAAATCACATTTGGAAAAAACTTGTAAAATCTAATACATCTATGAGTTTGGATATATTCTGGCAGTTCCTGAAATATGTTCAAATGGAAGTTGTGCTTTCAAAAACTGAGTGCGAACTATTATTTAACAAATATAAAAATATGAAGACCAGATTACTGGATGAAGAAGCTTTTCTTCAGTACTTAAGGAATGCTTCTTTTATGACTGATGAAACCGAAAATTCATTTGACTATTCAAAACCGTTAAACCATTACTTCATTGCATCATCTCACAACACATATTTACTTGGTAAACAGATAGCCGAAACTCCTTCTGTGGAGGCATACATCCAAGTATTACAACAAGGTTGTCGAAGTGTTGAAATAGATATATGGGATGATGAATCTGGGCCGGTGGTATGCCATGGAGTGCTTACAGCAGCTATCCCTCTAGGAAATGTTCTTAAAGTTATTAGAAAATATGCATTTATATCGTCTCCATTCCCACTAATCATCTCATTAGAAATTCATTGTGATAGAAATAACCAAAAGATAACAAAGGAGAAGATAGAAAAGATATTTGGAGGGTTATTATATACTGATGTATTGAATAACAATGATTTACCATCACCTCTAGAACTCCGGCATAAGATTATTATAAAATCCAAAAAGCCTAAACATTATGACGCTGAAACACAGACTTTCACAACAGAAAGTTCTTCAAAAACTGGTTCCTCGTCGAATCTCGATTATTCATCTACATTTGGGAGTTCTAATTATGATGATTCTGAGGAATATACGTCTACAGGAAGCACCACTATAAAGTCTCGCAAGTCATCGATATCAGGATCAAAACCAATAACCAATATTCAACCGATGTCACCAAATGAACCTACAAATTTCAACAGAATTAAGAGAATCGGTACTATAACCGGACGTGTTGTAGTTATTAAGGATTTGATAGATATATCGGCAATATATGGGGTAAAATATAGGAATTTTTCTTTACCAGAATCAAAAGCAGTGGCACATTGTTTTTCTCTTAATGAAAAGAAGGTTAACAGTATGTGTAAAGATGTTTCACTCAAATTATCTCTCGATAAACATAATAGGAGATATCTTATGCGACTTTATCCACATGTGTTCAGATATAAATCTACCAACTTTGATCCCATATATTATTGGAAATTAGGTATCCAAATGGTGGCAACTAATTGGCAAACGAACGATTTAGGGCAACAAATCAATTTAGCTATGTTTCAACTAACAAACCAAAAAAATGAAATTGCACATTCGGGTTATGTCTTAAAACCTTTATCATTGCGATCCAAAGTTGGTAAAGTTAATGATTTGATTTCGATGTATGATCAATTACAACTTGAAAATTTCTCTGAACCCAATGAAATTAAAATTAAAATACTATCAGGACAATTATTGCCAAAACTTGAAAACAATTCTTCGAGTGATAGTGACTTTGCACCATATGTGGTTGTTAAATTTATTATTGATGGAGAATCTATTATGAATCCAGTTCACTACTTAAAAAATTGCACAAGATTATCAGAGACAGAGATTAGAAGTGGAGCATGCCCAGGTAATGGTTTCAATCCTGTTTGGAACGCTGAAACCAATATTACTTTAAGTTGTTTGAATTTTAGCTTTATTCAGATCATTGTGAAGACCAGCGAAACTACGTTAGCTTCTTGTACCATTAAAACCGAGTATTTGAAACGTGGATACCGTCATTTACCATTGTATAGTATCGATGGAGAACGATATATCTTTTCTACTCTCTTTATATATTCAGAAATTACCCGTTCAAAGATTGAATGAAATTATACAACATTTATAAAACTGCATATAACATTAAATATCTCATAAATAATGTTCAAAATAACTTTAGTACCTATCCGAGTTAAAGGATTGGAGACTATAAAATATCATCTTTCACGATGTACATTAAGTTCAGTGAAATATTTTTTTTTTCAGATTTAAGGTTAGCGATGCATCTCATCGCAAAAAAAAAATTATCAAGAAATTTTATATGATCCTATGTTAAAAGGTCTTATTCGAGCATGCATTTATTACTGATATACAAATAAGGTCAATAGACTTGAATACCAAGGGAGTGAAATAAAACAGTGAAGATATGGCAAAAGCAGCTAAGAAGAAGTACTCCACGGCGCCAACATCGGCAAAACAAGTGGCAGCTGAAAAACATTTGAGTTCAGTTTTCAAATTTAATACCGATTTAGGTCAACATATTTTGAAGAATCCATTAGTGGCACAAGGTATTGTGGATAAAGCAAACATAAAGCCATCCGATGTTGTTCTTGAAGTTGGTCCGGGTACAGGTAACCTGACTGTTAGAATCTTAGAGCAAGCAAGAAAGGTTGTTGCTGTTGAAATGGATCCTAGAATGGCAGCAGAGTTGACTAAGAGAGTTCATGGTACATCTGGTGAGAAAAAATTAGATATTTTATTAGGTGATTTTATGAAGACTGATTTGCCATATTTTGATATATGTATAAGTAATACGCCATACCAAATTTCATCACCATTAGTATTCAAATTAATTAATCAACCAAATCCACCAAGAGTATCGATTTTAATGTTTCAAAGAGAATTTGCTTTGAGATTATTAGCAAGACCAGGTGATTCTTTATATTGTAGATTATCAGCCAATGTTCAAATGTGGGCTAATGTTACTCACATTATGAAAGTCGGTAGAAATAATTTTAGACCACCTCCACAAGTTGAATCTAGTGTTGTACGAATTGAAATTAAAAATCCTAGACCTCAAGTTGATTTCAATGAATGGGATGGTTTATTACGTATTGTTTTTGTTAGAAAGAATCGTACAATTTCAGCTGGATTTAAATCGACTACAGTTTTACAAATCCTTGAAAAGAATTATAAGACATTTTTAGCCATGAATAATCAAATGATTAATGATGAAAGTATATCATTAACCGATGTTGTAAAAAATAAGATTGAAACTGTATTGAAAGAAACTGAATTAAATGATAAGAGAGCAGGTAAATGTGATCAAAATGATTTTTTAAAATTATTATATGCATTCCATCAAGTTGGTATTCATTTCTCATAGATATTGTAATAAATATATGTATATTGTATCATAGTTTAGGTATAAAAAAAGAATAAGGCAATTGTCCTCTAACACATCGTTATTATTATTATTTATTATTATTTTTTTATTTAGTAAGCGTTGAACCAATTTTTACCACAATATGTTATTTGAATAAACCAAAAATTCTAAATTGATAAATAATTTAAGAAGAAAATGAGTAATTAATCAAGATAAGAAAACAATTCAAATTTTTTTTAATTTCTAAAAACTTAATTCCCCATTACTCCAAAAAAATAAAATAAATTGTATATAAAGAGAACTAAATCACGTCTCAATTATTATGATTTTTTGAAAATAATAATTCTTTAACGGTATCAATTATTCAAACAGACCTTATGTTTTACCATATTGAATATCCAATGATAAGAAATCAAAATAATACCATATTTTCTATCATGCTTAACCAGAATAGATGACTTTTCATACTTCAGATATTGACATGATGCTATAATACCACCACAGTTTTTATTATTTATTTAAGGGAGGGGGTATAATGAGATGATAATCTTTCTAAAGATCATCAACTAAGTCCATTGAATAATATAACAATATATAACAATATATTATTCTAAATGATAATTGAAGAAGACTCCACAGTTTTTAAATATTTAAAAAATTTCGGTGTCTCTTATTTTGCAATAAATGACAGTTCTCAACAGGAATAAGATAAAAAACAGGGCAGGATAACTTTAAACGGATACAAATGATCTAATAGATATATGATAAGGTCAAGATAAAAAAATAAATATCTTTTCGGTATAACGCTCACATTATTTTAGTACCATTTTATTCAACTGTATTATGGTAATATAATATATTCGACCAGAAATGACTCAATAGACCAAAAAAAAGGGGACTATCAGTTCTTTAGTTATCTTCCAATGAATGATATAACATTAAATGAAAGATAACAAATTCCGCTAAATATCCTGTCTTGAAAGTCATTCCATATATAACCATTTTGAAGTCCGAAATAAAATTTCTTTAATTAGAAAGACGTCATTATTACATTACATTACATTTTCAAATCATATCAAATTTATTCAAATTTAATTACATCATTATAGTTATTAACTACATGACGACGTATGACGTGATTTCGTGGAGAATAATTAAATCATAATGGAGGCAGAAAAATAAAATGAAATTAGAATGGCAGCCCGTTTTCCGAAACTTCGCAGAACGTGATCTAGCCTGTCACTAGCGAGTAATATAAAGCAAAAAAATGGGTGCCCGAAATCTCGGAGGTACGGGGATAGTGATATGATCATTCGTCGTCTTCTTCTGTCGATAGTATGTCTGAACAATCTAACAATAATTCGGTTGAACGGCTGAACTACAAAGATAAGAGAAGCAAATATCAGAATCATTATGATTAAATGGTCCGTGGAAGAACAAAATATAACTTCACTTTCTGTTAATTAACATACATACCCCTCTATAGGTGGCTACTTCTCCCACTATTTTCCTGTTAAACTCGTTGTTTAATTATATTGAGGGATGGCAAAACAAACAAAAACAAACAAAAACAGAATAATTTAATCCATTCTGCCGTTCTACAAAGCGAGAAAAATAACAATGCCGTAGCAACTCGGACGTTGGAGACACAGAAGATAACGCACAAGTGTCCCATATATTAGGCAACTAAGGCATTAAAAAAGTTTTGAAAAAAAAGTTTGGAGCCGCATGGAAGTTTCAAGTTTCTTCTTCCTGTTATTACCGTTCTTTGCCGATTTTTTATTACTTTGCCATTACCAGCCATAGTTCAGGACGTACAAAGATATATTTATATCTTTTTTTACCTTACAGCAAAAACTAAGAAATAAAGAGAGAATAGAGTATGGGCAGCCTCACTATGCGGTTAACCAACTTAGCCCCTCTAAACTTGTTTTTACCTTCTATGCCCCATCCAGAAGGAGCAAAAAAAAGTTTTGTTACTGCAATGTTTTGTCTGGGTCACTCACGTTACATTCAGTAGCATCATCATAACTAATTATTTGACCGTATCCATCCAATATTCATCATACAAACACGTAATTAATACCCATATTCATTAATTTAAAATAATTAAGAGAAAAGGTAAACAAAAACTGAACGATTATTATTATCAATAGGATTTACACTACCGCTCTCGGGTTCAAATACAAGTAGCTTGCCATATTATTATCGTCATCATTACACAAGGGATACAATACAATTAGAGATAACTACAGAAGAATTCGTAAGTTACTTATCTTGTTCTTTTTTTCTATGAAATTTACAGCTTAAAGTGTCACAATTTTTACACTTCGTCCTCTCCTGATCCTTTATTTTCATCTATCAAGATTCTTGATATTTCAAGAATATATTTGCTTGCTGCCCTTTCTTTCTACAACCTCTCTACTTCACCAGTCGATGATGTGCTTCATGATTTTTTTTTTTTCAATAATATTTTTTTGCGGGTGTGTGTGATGCTATTGGGTTGAAGATGGGAGATATGTAAATAAACAAATTGCATTACAAAATGCATTAGTTTCTTCCATTCATGACCCCCTTTTCTATCAAAAATAATAATACACTAATTTATGAAATCTTCCACTAGGCCGTATCAAATCTAATCATTTTCAATTTACTTAATTGAATATGATAGCCTCTATCTTTCTTCTTCTTCATCGATTTGAGGGATCAGGAGGAAAATAAAAATTTAATATTTTATCATTTCAAGCACTACGTATGTGTGTGACCACCCATCTATTTACCTTCTTCTTATTTTCATTATCCCTTTTATCGATTATATTGCTCTTTATTTTGTTAGATCCTCTCACTTTCCCTCTTTTATTTCTAGGTTGATAGTTAAAAACTATTATCGAATTGATTAAAAATTTATCGATAAGTTACTCTTTTCATTTACTTGATAGTCGTACTCAATTGAGAAAAAATAACAACCGAAGAATTCAAATTTAGCAGCACACAATAAAATGGGTAAAGTCATCTTGAAATTATTTTGTTGAACAGTTAATTCTCACAAATTATATCTATCAATTGATATATATAAAGGATGGAAATTTCAATAACATTTTATTCAAAATTATATAATACTGTAATTGGATTGATTAATAATTTCTTCCACTAAATCAAAAGAATAATTAAGTTCTTTTTTTCTTTAATAATAGCAACATCTCCACTTATATTAACAATTAATACTAAAATAAAAGGAATTCTCTCATTTACATTCACTCTTTAATTAAATATGACTGTCAGAGAAATGAGTGAAGACTTAGGCTCTGACCTAACAAATGTCTATACTATAGACAAATCTAAAATAAAAAATCCTATTAAAGAAGAAGTATTAGATTCAAATAGTGATTTAGAGGCTAATAGTATCAGTCTCTCGGATGATGAAAATTTTAAAGCTTTTGATGGTAAAACTGAAGGTACTAGATTAAAGAGAGATTTAAAAGCTAGACATACTTCAATGATTGCTTTAGGTGGTAGTCTTGGTACAGGTCTTTTAATCGGTACCGGTACATCTTTAGGGACTGCAGGTCCAGTCTCAATGCTAATCTCATATTCATTTGTTGGTATATTAGTTTTTTTCGTCATGTCATGTCTTGGTGAAATGGCTTCTTATATTCCATTGGATGGTTTCACAAGTTATGCAACTAGATATTGTGATCCCGCCCTTGGTTTCGCTGTTGGTTATTCATATTTATTTAAATACTTCATTTTACCACCAAATCAATTGACTGCAGCAGCTTTAGTTATGCAATATTGGGTCGATAGAGACACAGTAAACCCTGGGGTATGGATTACTATATTATTAATTATAATCATCATCATTAATTCCTTTGGTGTTAAATTCTTTGGTGAATTCGAATTCTGGTTATCAAGTTTTAAAGTGCTTGTCATGTTAGGTTTAATCATCTTAATGTTTGTTATCATGTTAGGTGGAGGTCCATCTCATGATAGATTAGGGTTCCGTTATTGGAAGAATCCAGGTGCTTTCAAAGAATACTCAGATGCCATCTCGGGTGACACTGGTAAATTTGTTTCATTTTCCGCATGCTTCGTTTACGCTTTATTCTGTTATCTAGGTATTGAATTAACCGGTATTGTTGCAGCAGAAGCTGAAAATCCAAGAAAGAATATTCCAAAGGCCGTTAAGTTAACAATGTGTCGTTTAATTATCTTCTACGTTATTTCAATTTTCTTACTTGGTATGTGTGTTGCTTCGAATGATCCAAGGTTGGCTAGTGCCAAAAATGCAAGTACCAGTGCTGCTGCTTCCCCATTCGTTGTTGCTATTATAAACTCTGGTATTAATGTTTTACCACATATTTTCAACGCATGTGTTTTAATCTTTGTCTTCAGTGCTTGCAACTCTGATTTATACGTTGCTTCCAGGTCTCTTTACTCCTTGGCAATTGATAACAAAGCTCCTAAATTCTTAGCAATAACCAATAGATGGGGTATTCCATATTACTCCTTAGGGGTCAGTGTTCTTTTCTGCCTACTTGCATTTATGAGTGTCTCTTCTGGGTCTGCTAAAGTCTTTAATTATTTCGTTAACGTTGTCTCTATCTTTGGTGTTTTAAGTTGGATCTGTATTTTGATCACTTACATTTGCTTCGATAGAGCCGTTAGAGCACAAGGCGTAGACAAATCTACCTTTGCTTACGTTGCTCCATTTCAACCATATGGTGCTTGGTTTGCTTTGTTCTTCTGTTGTCTATTGGCTCTAATCAAAAATTTCACCGTTTTCTTAGGCCACGAATTCGATTATAAAACTTTTATTACCGGCTACATTGGTTTGCCTGTTTTCTTCATCAGTTTCTTCGGTTATAAATTTTATTACAAGACAAAATTTGTTAAACCGGAAGAAGCCGACTTGTATACATACAAGGCTGCGATCGACCAAGAAGAAGAAGATGGTAAGATTCAAGATGCAGAGAAAGCAGAAAGAATTAAACAGAACGGTAAGAACTGGGAATGGTTCTATGACAAATATCTAGGGAAAGTGTTTTAATACATATATAGTTGGAAATTATTCCTTCTCTCCCTCTAGTTTACGACAAATACCTCCTTCTATGCATTCTCATTTGCATAGCATACATACATGATCTTAATTTAACATCCTGGATGTTGGATTATACTTTTAATATTTTATTTATTCTTAATGACATTTATATTTTCAATTTTTATTTTCTCATGATATCATGTTCTTTGCAATATATAATTGTTGATACATATATAATGTTGGAACATAGAGGTTTCTTCCTTAACTTAGAAGAATGACATACTGATTTACATATGTAGTAAATATCTATATACATAATCAACACTTGAAAATCCAACAACGATGAATTCGGCTAAAAAAGGAGATGTTAGAACTTCCATCAGCGTGTCTATACTTGACTCAAATAAGGAAAGTAAAGAAAGGCTGATCTAGAAGAACTCGGCTCTTCCATAATTGGTGGATCTGACGATCCTGAAGGAATCCAGGAATTTTTCAATGAAGCAGTGGTACTGCTTGCTAACACCTGGTTCGTCACAGTGACCTTTGCAATGCTAACATTATTTTTGATCTAATACTACTAAAATATCCAATGTTTATTTTTCTCCTACCTAAAATATTTTTCGAAATATCAATTGATTCAAGTTCGTTAGTGTATTATTTTTAAATTATATATATATACTAGACTATTTTTGTACGCTAAACTCATACCCTTCAACTTTTACAATAGTCATAAACAAATTATGCTAAAAGATAAATAAATAAATAAATAAATAAATAAATAAATAAATAAATAAATACTATAGACAAACTATAGGGTTGTCGTTGAAAATGGTTTCAAAGGTTCTAGGCCCCATTTAGCTAACATAACTTTATCTTCNGGTTGTCGTTGAAAATGGTTTCAAAGGTTCTAGGCCCCATTTAGCTAACATAACTTTATCTTCATCCCAGCCATTACAAGGGGTAGTTAGCATATCTTTCCCAGTGAAAATACTATTACATCCAGCCATAAAACATATGAATTGCTCATATTCACGCATGGTATAACGGCCTGCGGCCAATCTAATCATGGTTTTTGGCATAAGGATTCTAGCTGTAGCAATTGTTCTTACGATATCTTCAAACATCAACTTAGGAGTTTTACCTTTCTTAAGATCATTAACTATCTTAGTACCGTCAATTTCCACCAACCTGTTGATTGGAACAGATTCTGGATGAGGGCTCATGTTCGATAATGTATGCAAGAACCCAATTCTGTCGTCCTGCGATTCCCCAAGCCCTAAAATACCACCGGTACATACGGTGATACCAGACTCACGAACCTTATTTAAAGTTTTCAAACGATCATCGTAAGATCTCGTTGAGACGATATTTTTATAGTGCTCTCTTGAAGTGTCGATATTACAATTATAAGCAGATAGGCCGGCATCCTTTAATGTGTCGGAATGGGACTTGTCAATCATACCTAGGGTGACACAACTTTCTAATCCAATATTATTAACTGTTTCAACCATTTTAGATATAGTTTTCAAAGCACTCTTTCTGCCTTCCATACCTCTCCAAGCAGCACCTAAACAGAATCTGGTTGAACCATTCTTCTTAGCTAACAGAGCTTCTTCTTTCACTTCTTCTACTGTAACTAGCTTTTCAGCTTTTAAACCGGTGTTATTACTCGAAGATTGAGAACAGTAGCTACAATTTTCAGTACAACCACCTGTCTTAATATTCATCAATGTACATAGTTGGACTTTTGATGGATCATGAAATCTTCTATGTTGAGTCTGAGCAGCATATATTAAATTCAACAGCGGTGTCTCATAGATTGATTTAATATCTTCTTTTGACCAACAGTGAGTAGGTTCAGTGGTGGAGATTGCACGGTGAACAATATTTGTTTTGGTATCTGTAGGGATTGACAAATGTCTCTTACCAGTAAAAAAAGTGGTTCTTTGAAGACGAATTAACAGTTTCATCGAGACCATGTTTTTGAATCGTCAACTATGTGTACGTAATCCAAAACAAATTAAAATCAAACACAGACGATTTTGGGAAAAGAAAAAACAAACTCTTAGGAGTCCTATCGATGTCCTTTATATAGTATTTGGAAACTATTATTCATTGATAAAAAAAAATACATCAAGGTGCGATGCTGTTGACCTGTAAAAAGCTCTGTTTTCTGGTATTCCCACCAACGAGAACAAAATTTTCAAGGTCACCATCATAATTAAGTCATGATTCATAACAAAGTGAATGAATAAAAGTGTCCGTCTTTAAATTAGCGATCTGTAAACGAATTCTTGGTTTTGGAATCATGCTATTATGATTCATCTATCTGTGCATGGTCACGTGCTGGATATGTCTTATACTGCTGTTGTTCCGCTGACGAGACAAGTCCCTTGTTGGTTTAACATACTAATCTGGTTTCATATAAATGACATGTCCAGTTAGCATAGGAACTCTTTATTGATAATTAGAAGACCATTTCCCCCAGGAACGGTTCACTATGAGGGCATCATCCTTTTTCACAACGTCCTGATAATTTACAGGCGTTAAATAATGAGCCCGCAACAGGTTGTGCAGCTTCTAATAAATTCGCTATACAATAACACTACCAGTACAAACTCTCAGTATTCGAATACAAAACAATCAATAATAACATTGTATATATTAGTTAAATATAAGGTATAGAGTGATACAAGTACACTCCCCAAACAAGGTAAAAATAAATAGATAAAGAAAAGCCATTGATCCATCGAGGCGCGCTGGAGTAAAAAAATAACGAAAAGAATAATTAGAAATGATAAAAAGATATCAATAGAAGAAAGAGGGTCCACTTTTGTTCATGGATAGTGGCCTGGATCTGGACCGAAGTACCCCTTTGGAAGGTCAGTAATATTTCTTATTGGTAGACCAATGGCATCGACACCAGCGTAAGGCACATTATTCCCCCACCAACTCAATTGCGTATCCTTATATTGAACCGCAAAAAATATAATGATGGCAGAAAAGACCAGACCTGCTGCAAGACCAGATTGAATCATGTAGTTGTATCTCTCCCATTTTCTAACGTGATATCTCCTAATGTAGAATTGAGAGAATATACCAATAATGAAACTTGGTGTGAAATACATTAACCCATATGGAGGACTGAATGAAAGCATACCAACAACAAAGACAACTGGATCGAAATTCCTTGGTATGAACCTAGGACGCCATCTCTTAATGGCACCAAATAACAAACCAAGTAAGGCGCCGATTAACCAACACCATCTGAGGATTGGATATATGTCGTTAAAGATTCTCTTGGGACCAATGGCACCCCAAACAATCGATGAATTGAAGAAAGTTGTAATGTCAGGACAAGTGAATTTGGCGGTTTGTTTTGGTGTACAGAAACCTTTAATGTTGCTTGCTTGCCAATTCAACACACCCATATTAACAAATATTTGTAACAATACAATGAAGCATTGTCCCCTGAATAATGCCACCGGTGGAATCTTGGCATAATGTGCCATCTTTTGATTAGAGACATAATTATCAGATTGGGCATCAATGTTGTAACCGAATGCCTTAATGATCATTAGTGCAAATGGGTTACCAGGTAAAGCATAACCAATAATCATTTCAATCAATAAATTCAACCCTAGCGAGACACCTGCAATCGATTGTAATAGAGTAACGGGAATTAAGAAGGCTGCATTGAAACCAACTGAAACGAATAAACCCCAAACAGGTGTGTTTGTATGATAAGCTTCAACAACAATTATACCGATAACTATTGAAATAATTAAAATTGCGAAATACCACCAGTCGGGAACTTCCTTATATTTCTTCATCATTGTGCAATGAATGTCATGGAATTCAGACAACCCACCATCACTGTCATTTACATTACTCCATGTACTACGTTGGCGTAAGGACATAATACTTTTACCAAAACTTTTGAATGATGTTGATAATAATTTGGTGTGAACAAACATAGAATAAACGATCATCAAAGGATAACATGCGATAAAACAACCATATGATACCAAATTTCCGGCAGTGTAGAATGGTGGTGAGTATGCCTGATATTTGTCAATATCTAACTCATTTTTTTCGTTTAAAATCATATGAACCGAGTAAGGTTCACCAGTGTTCGTGTAAAGACCTTGAGTGAACATTGGTAGATATTGCGTGTTTGCATAATTTGTGTAGTAAACTGCAATTATTATCAATGCTGTAAGCACTGCAGCAACATATTGGTTAACTAACGACCAGAATGGGGTAATCAATGGCCCCATATTACCTAGAACGTTCCAATCAAAGCTAGTAATTGGATTAAACCCTAGCCCGGTAACACCACCTGTTATGTTTGCTAGATGAATATTGTTGGGCGCAATCCATGTCATCCAATTGAATGTATTCAATATATTGATGATATAGGTTGGGAACCAATTGTAGAAGAAGATGAAGAGGAAACTGTACCCAAAAACCTTATATTGCTTTTTGGCCTGTCCACTGCTACGGCTACACAAAGCCCTGTTTAGAGCTAACGTTGGTAACACTGTTGGCCACATGGCCTTGACTGGGTATACAACAAATCTTCTCAGGATACCTGCAAACCCAAACCCTAAGAATTGAACAGAAAGAGATAACAAAAACTGATAACCAAAACCCAAATGAACATCATACTTCATCTTTAATGTCAAAATGTTATAGTGCGTATAGAAAGTTCCCATAGAAATGGCAAACAATAGGGTAGAAAACATCTGCTCTTTCTTGGTCCATGGTGTTTCTATATTTAAAGCAATTCTTCTTTTCCCAATATTGAAACCCCAACATGGAAAGTAGTCAGCCCAGAATGTACCACAAAAATTTAAAACAATTTGAATAACAGATGTGGAAACAGAAATCGAAATCAGTCTATGGGAAAAAAACTCATTAAAACCAGAACCAACAATACTCCAGACAATTGCCAAGAAATAAGCTCTAACTGTTTCGACAGGAATGTTCGGGTCTTCGACTGTATCTACAACAGCTCTCACTTCTAGATATGGAGAAGAAAACTTAATCATTGCACCATAACATTTGCAGAGGAAGACATCCAAATCGTTGGTGATCAAATCACTCGTAGTTGATAGCCGAACCCAATCATCATATTGGTGGTGTGCTATATTTTCATCTTCAGCATGGTCCTCAACAGCTTCCTTTAGCACCTCCACAGCATCTTCCAAGGTTATGTTTTCCGATGATGTTAATATAAAATTGAATTCATCTGGCATGTCATGTATGTCATTGTCACGGTATCCTAGTTTCTCAAGCAGAATGGTCACGTAGTCGGAGTTTAACTCCGTGGCTTCGACTGAATCTGAGCTACTAACATCTCTTTTTAAATCAAACTGAACCTTTTCTTTACTAACGTTTACTTCATCTGATGAATTATTTTCTACCTTATACTCCATCGTTTACTTGAGACAGAATATTTCGGTTAGTTTGTTTTAGGTAAGTAAAAAGGGTACAACAACTATACGCTACAGATAATTAAGAATTAGAAAAGCACTCTTTATATATATGTGATATTTATCATGCTAAGCTAGCACATTCCTGACTTATCTGCAACTTACAACAGATAGTGTTGACCCCTTGATCATGGGAATATAGACTAGATATTATGCGGTGATATCATAAATTTAGTATTATAACATGATAGATAAGTATTTTAAACAGGATGAACTGTATCCAAAAAAAAAATATCAAAATTCTTAAATTGCGACAACAATACAAGGGAAAGTGCCAAATATTATATCCTACGAAACTTATATGGTTGCCATAATCCAGATAATTGAGGTTATCAGCGTAAAATTAGGAAGAGCAGTAGCTATCGAGAATGATCCTGACACATTTTTTTAATTTTATTTGTACCGTAAGACTAAATCACCGATAAGAATGATTGTCCGGGTCGAATAAAATTGAAATAGTCACTAGAAACTATCGTGTTGTGATGTTATTATCCCAACAAATAAATACAGACTGTTACGATCTCAGAAATTTATAATGAAATAGTTGAGAATAAATCATGAATGGTGAATTTTGAAGTCTAATCTATTATTTGCAATTTAGTAAATATAGCAAACAAAATCATGATTGTGTGAAAACCATTTTGACTATTGTAGTATGATTTCAGAAATATGCTAACCAGATAAAAAAATGCCAAATGTTGACACTTTTATCGTCCATAAAGAAATTTGCAAACTGCGAGGAAACTGCGTAGGTCGGCTGTATCCGGATAAAAAAAATACTTTCGAACAATATATTTAATTATGATATATTGACAGATAAAGAAGGTTCGGTTTAGAAACAATAGACCAATCTGATTGACATTGCGAAAGACAAGAAAAAAAATAAGTGCGGACTATAGGTGAACATTTTTAGATTTGGCTGATAAGACATTAAATTATTTTTGACTTTCTGGTGAAGCAATAGATAACCGTATACTCAAACTAAGTTAAAGACAAATAGACGAAACAATAAGAATGAGTGTACAACACAACACAATTATATACTCAACATTATGTTAGTTAAATTTTCCATCGATTCGAACTGCGATGGTAGAGTACTACAAACCCCTGAGGTTATTTTAATATCGACGACATCTTAATAGTAATTTACTTTAGAATCTTACGATTTAATTACCTAAATCATATTTACTTTTCTAAATAGTTCAACCCTTACTTCTCTTATTTTTTATAAAAGACTCTTCTCCATTATACCGTTAATATTAGTCGTATAATTGTGGTAATGACGTTCCACTTCTTTAATATATAGCTAAGATATGCATTTTCAACCAGTCAATGACGTATATTCTCACAAATTTAGAAATATATATTAAATCGAATTCTAGGTCACTTACAGCGGCAAATTAAATAATACGAACAGAAAGAAACTACTTAATAAACTTGTGGAAATACGAGTGCTACTGAAGGAATATTTATCGTTTTATGTCATTACTAAGTACCGTCACAAGATGAGATGATAATCAAAGGTGAAATGCTACATATAAAGAATGTATAATGTGTTCGATGTTATAAAAACTATGTATAGATATCAAATAATGATCAGTTACAAGCCAAAAAATATGAAAAACAACATCACTAGTTGAAATAACGGTTTCCATTAGTAAATCACTCTCTTTGGGCATTACCAATAGGCTTGATCAACGACACAGATAACGTCAAAACTTTCTGGATAATGAAGCATATTGTGTAATAGGGATGTTTCTTGGGTTGTTGTTCTGGGGAAGCAGA